CACAGTAATGTCACGAGAATAAAGGAAGTGATCAGCGTAAGGGTGACCAGCATCTAATTTCTCCTTACAATATCACCCCTGAATCACACAGTAATGTCACGAGAATAAAGGAAGTGATCAGCGTAAGGGTGACCAGCATCTAATTTCTCCTTACAATATCACCCCTGAATCACACAGTAATGTCACGAGAATAAAGGAAATGATCAGTGTAAGAGTGACCAGTATCTAATTTCTCCTTACAATGTCACCCCTGAATCACACAGTAAGGTCACAAGAACAAAGAAAATGATCACGAACTAGTAAGAGAAGCTCTTGATTGTTAAACAAATTCTCTTTGTCAGCACTGTAGGAAATGCATAGAGAACAGTATGGAGAATATGTCTACTGATGTTAGGGTCTAAATGGTTAAAAAAAAAATACTGTTTCTAACCTGAGACACTGTTGAATCTCAAAAATTAAAAAAAATAGCAAATTCAGATTCCACTGAAAACATGCTTGTTAGTATTTTAGGGCTGCTGGAAAAGCTGTCAACCAATTACCTGATATTTCCTTTGCTTTTGCTGAATTTTTCTGAGAAAAATAACAGAAATGTGGGTCTCTTCCCATCTAACAGCACATCTAAGTAAGCTGTCCTCGTCTGGTTGCTCTTGAAGTAAACATGACCATAGCTTGTCAGACCTGGTTTCCATGCACTCAAGTTCAGACTGTTTCCTGGGGTGGCCAGTTATTAATATGGTGTATGATTCATGTGTGTCATGTACTTCTTAAGATTCTAATTCTTATTATACTTATCATTCTTAAATTCTAGATTTGGATCTCTAATGGAGGATGGGCTGACATAATGACGGTCTTTGCCAGGACTACTCACACCAATGACAAGGTCAATATTTTTTTGTAAGATATAATACACCTTGTAGCTTTTATGCATCCTTTTGTCTTTTCCTGACTTGATCCGTCTAAGCCTGCTTGTGGGCAGTCATTTGTATTTTCAAGCATGAGATTTGGTGCAGGGAATATTTGCTCGCCATATTGAACAGGTTAAAGATTTGGAACGAGTGACAAATTGAGGGGGAGGGGGGAAAGGGAGAAAACTCATGGGTTTTCAGGCAGGTGGTTTTCTGGTTTTTCTCCTCTTCCGCCTCCCCTTTGCTTTCTCACTTGTCCCTGATCTTCCACCTGTCCAGTATGGCAACCAAATAATTTATGTGCTGCGCTGAATCTCACACTTGAAAACACAAACTGCCACCTGTGAGCAGGCTACCCACTTCTCTCTGCTAGACCTAGATAAAAAACAGCAGCACTACTCTCCCCTGGAAGGGATGCCAGTCCATCACTAGTTTACTCTCAGAATCTCATCAGGCTTAGCTTCCCTGATAATTCATAGGTGTCCTTTTATACTCTGTAGTGGATACAGGCAAGTGTGAAGGTAAAGAGGTTTGGCCAAGAATACAACAAATTGACCTGGGGCCCATTTCTTGAAAGTCCTGCTACTTAATGGGCCCACGAAGCAGTTCTGTTTTCATTGAAGATGAGGATTTCAACAGTTTTGAAAATGATATAATAAACCTATCAGCTAAAGAAACAAAAAGGATTGGTTTGGGTGCCAGAACCTGCTTTCCTATCCTTCAAATTTTAATTTAATTTAAAACATGGCTTCATGCTCGTTAAGTTACAAGGACTATTGAGAAACAGGCCCCAGGTCAAGTCTCAAACCCAGGCGCCTCAATCCACACTTCAGTGCACTGACCAATGGGGACCATATCTACCTTTCTATTTTGCATCCCACAAATTTTAATTGGTTTAATTTACATCATTTATCATGACTGTCAATGTATTGCAGGGTGAAAAGCAAGACAAAATAACTGCTTTTATTGTGGAAAGAGAATTTGGAGGTGTGACGAGTGGAAAACCAGAGGATAAACTTGGAATTAGAGGCTCAAATAGTAAGCGAACAAAATGTTTTAATTACAGTTGAATTTATATGGTGAACAAATTGCAGAGTTAAGTATTAATTACCACTTGTTTGAGTTATAATGTTATAATTGCTATAAACCTTTGAGGCCAGATTTTTTCAAAATAGAAGTTTTATTCAGTCTATTCTCTTTTCTGTCTTTTAGCATGTGAACTCCATTTTGACAACACTCCAATTCCAATTGAAAATGTTCTTGGAACTGTTGGTGGTGGATTTAAGGTAAAGTTAGGAATGTTTTGTTTTGTGCATAATTCTGGAAAAAAAGTTCATCCTTCTTATCTCACATAATTATGTTGGAGGAGCACTACTAGTGGCTGCACCTGATTCAATACACTGAGCTTGGTTTTTCAAAGCTGGGTTAATATAACCCAGGGTTAGTGTGAAATTTGATTACAGATCTAAAAACTTGAAGAGAAAATTCAGTTTATTTCTTTTTGTCCAGAATTTGATGATTGAATGATCTAAAAACAATAGGGAAAATTATCCCAAAACCTGGATTAAAATTTAACCCTGGGTTAGCACTAATCGACCTTGGGACAACTGGGCCCCGCTGGACTCTACACATGTAGGTCAAGACTGGAGCACTGGTCAGGAAATTTTGTTGTGTTCTAAGGTTAGACACTTAACACTCCTGGTGCCTCTCTTCACCCCAAGAGTACAGGCATAAACTAAATGAATACTGGCAGATGATTAAGGAAGCTTGCAATAGACTGGCATTCCATCCAGAGGGATAGCCCAGGTGGGGGGGGGGTGTACTCCCTTATAAGGGCTTAATGGGGACGTGCAGCCAGCGAGGGTATGTTTTTTGAGATTTTTTTCTTAAACAGGGTATTGAATTTGTCATATTTTGTCTTAATAAGGGTATCGATTTATCAATTTTTGTCTTAAACAGGATATCTTTTCTTGGAAGATAAACAGCAAAATTTTTACAAGCTCTAATTTTAATTAATATTGAATTTCGTTGATTTTGGCATTGATACCAGGCACATTAAATGTCTTAAACAGGGTATCAAAAATCGGAATTCTGTCTTAAACAGGGTAGGAAAATCAGCGATATTTGTCTTAAACAGTGTCAGAGTATGAGGGGCTGCACCTCCCCACCCAGGAATATATCAAGTACCTCCCCTGGGGGGGATAGTTACTTCATGGTAGAGAATCTGGGACAAGCTCTCACTGGCTGTAATGAGCCACTTTGCTCAAGTGCAGACTTGATCATTTTTTTAATGAAAACAATCTGCTATAATTATGATCCTGGTGATATAATAATTTTCTTTGTATCACACTCGTGACAAGATGAACAACATCTTTCTCCCTATTAAATATGTTACACAATTTGTTTAAAAGCCCCCTGCTTCTGGCAGTTTGCAGCTCTAAGTGCTAATTAGAATATACATCTGCCATTAACTAAATGTAAACGACATCAAAAATATTTGTAAGTATTGAAATAATATTATACTATAGACCACTTTCATAAATGGCTGCTGTATAAATATTCTTTTGTTTAAATTTAAATTAGCCCTACTGGCCTCGCTTGAGATAATGTATTCTTTTGAATTTTGTACTGGAGAACGAGGCCAGTAGGGCTAATTTAAATTTAAACAAAAGAATATTAATCCGGCAGCCATTTATGAAAGTGGTCTATAATAGTTACTCTAATTTTTTTGCTTCTGTTAAGGTGGCTATGAACATCTTGAACAGTGGCAGGTTTGGTATCGGAGCATGTGCTGCAGGTGGACTGAGAGGGCTGATAGGTAATTTTAAGTAATTGTGGCGTGTTCAAGGGGAGGGTGTGTGGATCCCATCCCCCCCCCCCACACAACTCATCCCAGCCCCCATCATCAGACTTGTGATTGATTTTCCTTCTTAATTGTCTGAAACTGACATTTTGCCGGCAAATTTTTATCACTGACCACTCAATTTGAAGTGTTTTCAATTTACTTATCTTTAAAAAAGGCTCTGATTAAAAAAAGGAAAGAATAAAAGTGTGTTTTCTGATTAAAAATTTGGACCCCTTCCCAACCCCATTGAAACTCTGCCCCATTCCTCCTTCCCAGCACAGTTTGTTTGTGGCTCTCTAATTCACAAAGGTTCAGTATTCTTTTCTGAGATAATGTTTAAGTTCCATTGGAAAAATGATTGTGCAGACCTTATGTCCAAAAAAAACCAGTAGGTGGCTTCT